TGAGTTTCGATCGGCCAGTGGCGTCTGCGAGCGTGTCAGCATGCGTGGTGATGCCAGCAACAACATGTCACATGTCAGGTGCATCGACGGTGATTACTGCCCGTCCTTTCTCAAGCCCACCTGGGGGGTCATGCACCGCCGCACCCAGGCTGGCCTGCTTCTCGGCCTGAGCATTTCCCAGCACCTCGAGCCGCCCAGGACCCTGGAGCCCAGCAGGATCGCGGTCCAAGCGGGCCTTCGCTTTGACAGCGTCCACCGCGCCCAGTTCCGTGAAGGAGTTGTGTGATGAACGCCCCAAGTTGGCGCCAGGTGTCTGCGTGGGTGCGGCGGCGGCTGATGGCGCCGCACTTGTAGGAAGCCTGTTTTTCGTTACAAATCATGGGAGCCTGGTGTACCCCGGTAATTCCGTCTTTAGCGTCGATTGGCGTTTGGGGGTCGATTTGGCGTCGGCTAGCGTCGATTAGCGTCGAGTCAGCATCGATTAGCGTCGACTCGCAAGAGCCAACAAGATGGCATGGGAGGCTCCCATGAGTTGCCACATGTTGCCACCGAACTACCAGCTCAGCCCGAAGCACTGGGTCCAGGGCCATGATGCCCCCCAGACTGTCTCCCACCGCTGTCAGGACCCGCCGATCGCCGTCCAAGACCACGAACCCCCATCCGAAGCTCTTGCACCCTGGGGGGCCTCTACCAGACCCGTCAGAGTAGGCGTGCGTTGTGACGAGTGGGTGCCATCACCGACCTCAGGGTCTGACTGCTCGAGGTGCTGCTGGTCCTGCTGAAAAGGGTCGTCCACGGGACGGGCCGTGAGGCCTCTGGTGAACAAGAGGTAGGAGCCCCAGGAGGAGGTAGCATGCTGAAATTTGGCTGGGACCCCTTCTCCCGAGTCATTGCGAGCCAAGCCCAAGCCCAGGCCTTGGCGAGATCTATGATGCTGTGTGCCGCGAGGAGCCTGGCACAGTTGTCATTCGCGGTTGTCGCTGTGTCCTTCCTTCCAGATTCCACCTTAGGACCAGGAGGTCTTGCACACGAAACCTAAATTTGTTTCCTGCCGCCCCAGGATATTTCGACGCTGGTGCGAGGCAGCCCGAATCGATTCTACGTGCGGTCCTTTGCGAGGCCCATTGCATTAGCTCCGAAAGCCTCAGGCCTGGCCGTCACGAGGATTCGGATGGAGGAGGGGGCAAGCCCACGGAGATCAGGAGGGGTCTCCGTGTGAGTGAGGAAGGTGAGGTACGTTGATCACGACCCCTTGATGCTGCAGTTGGGCGAGGACGGTCGACGCTGGGCCACTCACTCATCTCCACTAGTTGCCGAGGGGCTGTGCGGCCAACTTCTTTCTAGCCTGCTTGCACCCAAGCTCTACAGCCGGGCCGCTGAAGAAGGAACTCTTTTCGTTGGGGAGGGGCTCAGTGTTCCTGAATTGTTGTATAGCTTGTCTTATTTAGGTGTTCCTCTGGTTTTCCATGTTAGGTTTTCCGTAGGTTTTCTGTGGGAAGTCGAAGCCTAACTTATGGAAAACGGGGCCTCATTCCTTATGCAGGGTTCCTTATGCCAGCGCTTCGACCGCAGATCGCACAGTGACTGCTCGCCACACATAGCCCAAGCCCACGGAAGCAGGGCCTCACAGAGGTCGTTTCCGTGAAAGAGGAGCGGCGAGGCGCCGCCGCAGCCTCGGGACACGGTCTCCGCGACAACCCTGCTCGAGCACCCTGCTGGGCAGATGCACCGATCTCGCGCCTACCTTCTCTCGCGACCGGCTCGCGTCGCACGAGGAGGGGGTGGTGGTGGAGGACCCAGACCTCCAGTGTCTAACACAACGCGTCGGTATTTGTCGTTCTCGTTCAGGTCGGTTTCTGCCTCCGCAACCGCCAACAGAAACGATACGGGACGAACTGCTGGCCGCTCAGGAATGAGTCGAGATGTCCAGGAGGCCGCGTGCGGAAACAAACGTCTAGGGCATTCGAGGTCTGGTGGGGAGGGGGAGGAGGAGGAGGAGGAGGAGGAGGAGGAGGAGGAGGAGGAGGGGGAGGAGGAGGGGAAGGGGGAGAAGAGGAGGAGGAGGAGGAGGAAAGGCAAGGGGGAGGGATAGGAGGCGGAGTAGGAGGAGGAGGAGGAGGAGGAAGGAGGAGGAGGAGGCGGAGGAGAAGGGGGAGGAGGAGGAGGAGGAGGAGAGGAGGAGGAGGAGGCGGAGGAGGAGGAGGGGAGGGAGGAGAGGAGGGAGGAGGAGGCCTTTCTGAGGCGGCGGCTCCAAGGGCGCAGCGCCCAGCAAGGGCAGCACGGCCAAGGGCAAGGGCGCCGTGGCCGCAAGCGGCTGGGGCGGCGGCAAGGTCGGCGGGGCCGCCGCCGGCTGCCGGGAGGGACGACAAATATCGGGGCGCACGCCACGGGGGTCAGCGCTGGCCCGGGGTGCGCTCCCCCCCTCCCCTTCCCCCCCCCCTCCGCTCCCCTCGCGGAACCGGTGTCCGGGAGCTGCCATGATGAGGTGATGAGCCTGTTT